TCATGGCAATTGAACGGAAAGCGAAAGAGTCTACTACGTGTTCACGCTGCCAAGAATCTGCCATCAATCACTGCACAACATGCAGAATATTTATGTGTCAGAAATGTTCAGAGTCCCATGATAGCTGGCTAGCGATGAAACTAAGCCATAATGTGCTATCTGTCGAGGAATTGAGCGATCCTGAAAGTCAAGTGAAAATGAGAAGCAAACTTTATTGCATGAAACACGAAGACAAAGTACTCGAATATTATTGTGAAACCTGTAAGGAACTTAGCTGTATACATTGTATGGTGTTAAATCACATAAAACAAAACCATTCGTGTGTGGCAGTGAGTGAGGTCGCACAGAAGCAAAGAGAGACATTGCAATTAAGCTGCACAACACTTGACGAGAAATTGTATGAAGGAAAGGAAGCGCTAAACAACATTTGTGAGGTGATGAAGTCTCTTGAAAAGAACGCCAAAACTGCTAAAGAACAAATCGAAGAAGAAAAGGAAAATATCTTGACCGTTGTGGCAGAAAAAGTCAATGAAAAAGCTGCGAAAATGAAAGAGGAAGTGGGCAAGGTTTATGGTGAATTGCACAGCGAACTGAGCAAGCAACATGTTGAAATCAAAGATTATCTTGATAAAGTCCAGACTTCAGTATCCTTGCCAAGAAGTCTGCTAAAGAGAGGAAGTATAGAAGAAATTCTCTCATCCCAAAAATTGATTGACGAAAATATTGAGAAGTTGGGAGATGAGAAGCCAGTGAATTTGGCCGCAGTGAATGATGGTGATATTCAATATGTACCTGACGACATTGGTAATATCAATTTTGATGAAATTGTTGGTAAATTGGGTCATGTAGAAGGTATATACAATACTACACAATATTGTCAATACAATTATTATAAATATCAATGTCTAGCAAATTTTTTGACAACTTTATCTTAGTATTGCTAGTTTGGGTCTTCTGGTATTTTCCTCTCAAAACTAAATTAAACTGAAAAGGAAATTTTCGAGTATACAGTAGGGCTTGCGCACGAAAATGGTAGGTTTGAATTCATATAGTGTGCAAATTTAGAAGATGTTTTAAGAAGTACCAGACAATTGACAGCGACCTCTTCAACTTGGACGTTTTTGCCATATATATATATATATATATATATATATATATATATATATATATATATATATATATATATATATATATATATATATATATATATATAGTGTAGCCTTTCACGCATAATTTTTGATGTTCTAGATCTTGTGAAGAATATACGTAAAATGTCAATCATGCATAGAACTATTCATGCATAACATCAGTCATGCGTGTGCTAAATTATTCGTGAAAGGCAACTATGGCAAAGTTTTAGAGGTCGTGCGTAGGATTTAATGTATGTACTTCAAGTTGTCTAATACTTTGACAGTTCATAAAACACCTTCCAAATTTGCACGCTATGAATTCAACTTGCGTTTTAAACCTGGCATAGGTGTGGACATGAACTTGGAACTTGGCTGGAATTCAGTTTTTTCCAATAATTTAGAGTTCAGTCCGGAATTTATTCAGAAGAATGTTTGAAACTCAGTATTGGAAAGATGCACAATTGTTGAATTGGATCGTCATATTTTTCGTACCATTTTTGAACGTTATTTCAAGTTCTGTACATAGACTGCAATAGTTATGGTGGATACAATTAATTGATCAACTTAACAAGAAACTGAGGTAGATAGTCTGTTTTACCCAGTTTGTCTTTGACGAGTAAAAATTATATGTCATGAGACACAGCAAAATTACAAAACAGAGCACATTGGGGCTTAATCGATCATCAAGGAGAAAGAAATCATTTGTCACTTCTAAATATGTAGTTCAGCATTAGTGCGTGTTCACATTATACACCCTACAGGGTGTATAATGTGAAAATATTTACTTATATTTCTGAAATCATACCTTTTGCTTCTCCTTTTACGCTCAAATCATCTCACAAATCTCCAAACATACACAATCTTAATGCATGATATTATGGTAATTTTCTTTATTATTCTATTGTACATCCCAAACATGTTACCATGCATGCTCTAGCGAGAATCATAGTAACACCTTACCATTAAATCATGAAGTTTGCTAACCTAAGTATCATTGTTTAGGTGATCCATCAGTACAAGATAATTTGAAAAAGTCTTCCAACATTTTGAAAGGAGAGATTGCCTTCATGAAACAACTACAGAAATGGTTGCGAGAGAAGTGTAAATGGAATCTTTGTTACAGAGCGTCCAGAGATGGTTGGAGTGCCCAAGATTTTCACAGACATTGTGACAATAAAGGACCAACAGTGGTTTTGGTAAAAGCCAATAATTGTATATTTGGTGGATACACTGATGGAGAGTGGAAAGGTATCTATAGCCCCGTTTACACTACGCTCAATTTTTGGTACGGCACGGATAAAATTGGTACCCGTACCACTTTTTTGGTTCTTGGACTACCTAAATGGTCAGCCCCGTTTACACTACGCTCTATTTTTGGTACCGTACCACTTTTTTGGTTCTTGGACTACCTAAATAGGTAGTCCAAGAACCAGAAAGTGGTACGGGTACCAATTTTATCCGTGCCGTACCAAAATTTGAGCGTAGTGTAAACGGGGCTTATATTTATACCAACTGATTTCCAAAAGTCACAACATAATGGGATTAGAATAAGATTTCTTAATGTGGAAATCGACCCTGTATAGTCTTTAGGATTTCTATGTTAGCTTTACAGTCAATTTCACATAACCTTTGCCTAAAATCTTCCGAAGTTCGCAAATTCGTTGCGAAAGAAACCCGTTTGCCCTCTAGAATCACTTAAGGTGGCAACACCAATATTCCAACTTGTTCTAAGTATGGCCGTACAGAACTGAATTAGGTATAATTTTAATTCTATTAAGAGAATGGCTGACGTGTCTATCTTCTCTGAAAATGATGAGTTCTGTTCCTCATCATCAACATTTCGTTTTGTGTAGCCTAATAATTAGTAATAAAGAGAGATTTTGGCAGGGGATTCCCTAAATGTGCTAATTTTCCAATATGTTCCAAGGTGTGATTTTCAGTCTTTTGTCCAAGAACAGCAAATTCAAGGCATTTGCTTCTGCGTATTTGTTTACATTAAATGAAAGGAAGTAGTTATTTGTCCGTGAATTAATTTCATTTCATCGTTCTGTCAACTCGCTAGAATTTCATTGATTTGAAAATCAATGAAATGACAGGAATGACACTGACAGGAATGACACTCGCCTGGTACGCGCTAGATCCGTGTATCGACCTGCGAGCAGGTGGCCTGATCTGTTATGGTTAGGGGTTGGGGACTACGGAAGGGGTTAGGTGTGGGTAAGGTTCCGATTTTATTGTGTGAAACAACCGCAAATTAATTGACGGTCAAATAGCCAAAGCTCATTGGTTTCTGCAAACGGACAAAAAACAACATAATTTTAACCACTGTATGCAATTTCACATTATCAATTAAACAAACAAAACCGTCAACGCAAAGCGAATACTGTATCTAATTTTACTTACTTATAAATTTATTGCGTGCGCCGGCACGGCATTTAAATACATCACTGTCTTCGAAAAAATATTTAGTTTTGTTGTCCATAATTGTTTCAATTCTCAGTTCACTGAAAAACCACTGCTAACCGGGTACTGTTTTACGGTATGCAGTTACGAATTCTTAAAACTCCGAAGTTTTCCCAAGAAGCATCCATACTTTTTTAAACTTTCTTTACGGAATTTGTGTTGTTCGTATTAGATATTTATAAATTTATCGAACTTGTTTCAAAAAATGTGCAGAATCACAGTTAAATTTCTGTCGTATGCATTATAAGCCAATATATGTACCTAGCTTGATAGACAACATGGTCTCTCATTTTGTTTTACTGCTTTGGTGAATACGTGACTAGTGGTTAATTTGCTTTCTTAAATCATTGTTAAAGAGCACAAGTTTAATAATTGTTTAATATATTTCAAAACTGGTGTAAAAGCTGTTATAATAGAGTTGTAATATCAAACACTTCGTTAGGGGCCATTCACAAAGGATGTCCGGCCAAATGATGGATTTTCAGACCCCCCCCCCTCCCCCCTTGTCCGGCATTGTCCGAATTAGTGACCTCCCCCCGGACTTCCGCCATGCCTCGCAAAAACTCACGCAACCTTGTATATATCAAGAGTAAAAAAACTTTTTTTACTTTTAGAACTTTTTTATAACTGTAAATGTGAACACAAAAACATATAAATTACTAATTAAAACAAAATCTAGTGTTAACCGCATAGTCAAAATGTCAATTTCACAATGGGAAGGACTGCTCAAAAAATAGAGGGAAAAAGAAATTTGTTTTTGAATTTTTTTTAAATTTCGGACATCCGGATTGCTAAAAAACCCTCCTCCCCCCCTATGTCCGAGTTTGTCCTGATTTTCCAAACCCCCCTCCCCCCCCTCGGCTCGGACATCCTTTGTGAATGGCCCCTTAGCGGTTTGACGTTTGCCGTAAACGTCAAATCTAAAGGTCTCTAATTCTGAAATTGTCGGCCGGCCGTGGTTCTTGATATAAGGCATATTATAAGTTTATTATTGCACTAGAAATACATGCATGTAGCACCCCCCGCCCCTTCCCGCCCTTTCTTAACAGAACCACTATACTTGCCAAACATTGTTTTCAACAAGAAGTTTTGCAAAGTTAAAAGAATTGTGGTCGATGTTGTTGCGTTTGCTCCAAATAAAATGAATGAAAGATGCACTGGAGTTTTAATATAACCAGATGTATTTTTAAAGGCCGTAAAACAATAACAAGAAGTTAGATTACATGGACATGAGCAAATAACCGGAAGTAAATGCTATATAACATAAACACTATACAGCCTTGGTAACATGAAAATTGTATATTTTCGTACAAATGGAATAAGAATAACGCATGCTAACTACAGAATAATCGACTGTCAACATCTTTGAAGAGAATACGGTAAAAAAATTTCTCTCATAAACACACATTAACCAGATGCACTATATAACTGGGTGGGGCAAAGCCACCCCAGCCCCCATAATACCCCCGCCCCCACTCAACCATTTTGGCCCTCCCAGACAAAGTCCCTTTTCTCTAAAACATAAACAAAATATTGGAAGAAAAATTGAATTTAGAAGGGAGGTTTGATATCCTATAGTAACTGAAATTTGCTTTGTGAATCTTATTTCATGTCTTTTATCTTCAAATGATTTCTTTTTGAACATGTTAAACACTGTGTTGTAAATGCCTTAGATTTCAAAAATTCCCGGTGGATAGCATATCCCAAACCCTATAGATTTGAGTTGTTGGAAGACTAGGCTAAACAAGTTCGTGACCGAGTTGTGGTATTTACATAAACATTCCATGCAATTGAATATTCGGTCTATCAACAGTATAATGTAACGCTGTATATCCAAAAATCTGTTTCGGAAAACGCACGAAATGCCGTCGTTGGTGTGGAAAAATACAAAAACCAATTTCAGCCC